TAAACAGCACTGGTCAATGGGATGGTTGGTAAAGGACTACTGGGTCAGTAAGCTCCCAATGGTAAGTGTCACATTTGGGGTACTGGTCTTATACAGCGAATAGAGCTCAAAACCTACTTTTTAAGTGGAAATTTTTGGGGTCGTCTTATACACCCCGTCGCCTTGTAGGCCGAGATATACGGTAATAAGTCACCAGGCCCCGATGAGATATTTTCCAGAGTATTAAAGGAATGTAAGGAAGAGTTTAGTATGCCCTTAGCAAAGTTGTTTAACTTTTCCTTAAAAACGGGTGTAGTACCAGAATCCTGGAGGATACCGAATGAAATATTGACTTTCGAGAAGGGAGATAGATCACTATCCTTTTACAACCGACCAATCAGTGTAACATCAATTGCAGGCAAATTACTGGACGCATTCATTTCAAACTCTATTTGAAATCACCTGGAGAAGCACAAGTTGATCAATGATTCCTAGCATGGCTTCACAAGCTGGCATTCATGTCTAACTAATCTATTAACATTCTTTTCATCTGTTTTCGAATCAGTGGACGAGGGGCACAATTATGATGTGGTATATCTCGACTTCATCAAAGCCTTCGACAGAGTCCCCCACGAAAGACTAATAAGAAAGGTGGAGGCTCATGGCATTAAAGGAGATACAGTTGGTCCTCATATTACGCGGTTAATGTAACCCGGAGGGTCCCGCGGAAAGTGAGGAACGCGTAAAGTGAACAACATAACATATGGGATTAATTGAAATGGAGTCCAGGCCAATCCCCAAACTCCACTTTTTGACGACACATAACTATGTTGCAGTAAAAATTTTATCTTAACTTTATGATGGTATGAAAAAACAAGTAATATAGAAGAGGTTAGGTTAGGAAAGATAAAGGTTAACATAGGAAAAATGAAGGTTACCTTAGAGAAACTAAAAGTTAGGTGGAACACTTACGGTAGTAGAAGAGATGGGTCGGCATACGGGGATGGAGGCTGGTTCCGAGGCAGAGGGCAGATTACTGGCCCTCAGGTGAATCACCATTACTAGGTGAATCATCATCACTGTCACTTACAGTTGTCAGGGCTTCCCTGACAAATCCCTCAAAGTCAACTTCACTGTCACTATCACTGGCTTGGGCTGGCTGTGGTGGGTTGCGGGTGAAGAAATCTGTTATGCTTTGCTGACGGCTGGCGTTGATGTTGTCGTGATACACCTTGATGTACGGCTCCATAGCCTGCACCAGCCGGTTATGGAAGACTTCATAGCGGTCATCGTCATTGTCGCGGGAAAGGAAGGACTTCATCTTCTCTGCACACTCCATGGCACCCTTAATATCACTATGACTTAAATTGTGTTCTTCGGAGACTGCCGCACCTTCTTCCTCCTCTTCACTGGCGTGTTCTTCTTCCAACATCTCGTCGGCAGTCACTTCAGGATTTCTGATCACCTCCAGGATGTCGTCGTCGGTAGTCTCGGAGAAGCCTGGAACTGTAACAGTCTGCGCAGCTTCTCTGGCAAGGTCCACTGCTACTGCAACAGTCTGAACCTCACCAGTCACAAATTGACTCCTCCTCTCACCTGGTATTCCATGCAACACATGTCTCCATGCGTGACGAATTGTAGCAATAGACAGCTGATCCCATGACTCCACCAAGATGTCCACAGCTTTCTTGATGTTAAATACTCTCCAGAATTGTTTGAAGAGTATTTTTTGCTGTTCTAACCGTTGTTCCTCATCTTCGTCGCTCTTGCTATCGGTGGTGGTGTCACTCAGGTCACGCAACTCTTCCCTGGTGTTGGTGTAGTCGTTCAGGAGCTGGAATTTTTTTGTTGAGAATGCAGCTTTCACATTGCAAATCAACTCCTGGTCCATGGGCTGGATTAAAGACGTAGTGTTGGGAGGAAGGAAGACCACTTTTACGTTGGGGTGACGATCTAACAGTAGGGGCGAGTGTCCTGGTGCGTTGTCCAGCAGCAACAAAATATTAAATGGGACATTCTGTTGCTCACAGAATTTCTTTACATCGGGAACAAAACAGTCATCAAACCAGGAGAGGGACAGTGTAGAGAACATCCATGCCTTACGTGCTGTCAGCCAGTGGACATTTAGCTTGGTCATGTCCATGCTCTTGTAGGCGTGCGGCTTGCGGGCTGTGTGGATCACCGATAACTTGAGCTTACAGGTACCGGAGGCATTGGTGGTAAACAGGACGGTGATGCGTTCCTTCTGCATTTTCCGGCCCCGAATCCTGCTGGCATTCTTCACAATGTAGGACTTGGAAGGTAGTTTTCTCCAGAAAAGACCAGATTCGTCCATGTTAAACACCTGGTCGTCACTGTACTGTCCTTCCTCCATAATCTCACGTAAAAACGGAGGAAATTCCCGAGCCGCAGCACGATCAGCACTCGCTTCTTCACCACCAATGTTTATATTGGTGATCTTGTTCCGGATCTTAAACCTCTGTAACCACCCAGAGGAAGCATTAAAGGGTTTGGGCTCTGTAATTCCCATCTTTCGTGCCACTGCCATGTACAGTTCACGTGCGTAGTCCTTCACAGAGCGCGTGTCGACCGCCATGTTCCGTCGCGCCTGACGCACCAAGTACCTCACAAGTAATTTTTCTGTCTTGAGAAGCACCTGGTTGTGAAAATACTTGATCATAGAAGCACCTGTAGACTTTGTGATCTTCATGTGCTCCTTTATCTTGGCTGAATCCTTCTTTATAGTCCGGATCGTAGATTCGTTCACACCATGCTGGCGCGCCAAATCAACCTGCCTTGTTCCTTTCTCCAACTCTTGGATGATGGTATACTTCACCTCGTAGCTTAAGGAACGTCGTGTCTTCTTTGGTTTAGTGCCGCTGGGTCCAGGTAAGGAAAGGTTTTTCTCTGGGGGTGGTGGTCCGGCGGAAGCCATTTTACGGAACAATGGATGCGCGTTTACACGGAGTGGCCTTGAGGGATGAAACTGCCGCGGCTAGGTCAAGCGTCGTCTTTCCTCCCTCCCTCCCTCCCTCCCTCCCCCTGGGTGGACACGTCATAATACTTTAAGCCAATTACAGCTAGCAGCAGAGGAGGGTAGGGATGCCTGGCCAATCACAGGTCTGATACGTCATATGACGTCAGTGATAACGCAACAAAGACACACTGCGCAACCTTACCGCGCCGCTTGCCCAAGCGGAGGGAGGAGGAGGGAGAGGCAGGCAGGCGGGCGGGCGGGTGGCGCGAGGGGAAAATCTAAAAATAGCGTCGCGCCGGACACTCTCCGCGTAATGGCGTTCGCGACCGCGGAATGTAAGAATGTTAGGTTCTGGCAAGGCACCGCGTTAACGGTGAAACGCTGAATGCGGGACCGCGTAATATGAGGACCAACTGTATTCTAAAATGGATTAGGGCGTGGTTACAGGACAGGAAACAGCGAGTGAGCAGTGTTCCCTCGGTTAACGAAATTTCGGTTAACGAATTAGCTCCCTTAAGGATCTTCAATTCGGTTAACGAACAAAACTTTGATTAACGAAATCCTTACGACAAACACGTTTTGTTGTGAGCATCAGCTGATCGGCTAGTCCGCCAATACAGTAATCTGTTCTATGTTTGCATTCGATTCCAGTGGAGTAATTATCAAGAAGGTTGTGTTCTTGAATATTTTTGCATTTTTATATTAAAATTATTGGTCATTCTAAAAATTAGCCATCCAAGCTCTGTCTACATAAAATTTTTCAATTATTATTTTTGGCTCGATATATGTAACTTTATTCATTTATTGAAACTCATTTACATGCACACACTGTCCTAAGAGCAAAGCTGTACTGTACATGTAATCAAAATAATGTATAAAATGATTACTAAAATTTTTATCTAGTGCAAACTATCGCATGTTTACATTCAAATTAATCAAATTAATCTTATAAAAATTCCAGCAATGTAAATTATATTCTCCCCTGTCACTTCTATGACAGTTTATAAACAAAATACAAAAACTGAATCTAAAGGACATAAATAAACAAATAAATACTTCACTAGACCTTCGGTGCCAACTGTCAAACATGTCACTGTCACCTCCCCTTCCTCCCTCCCCCCCACCATCTTCCCAGCCAAGGTTTGGTGGTTATACAGTAGGCTTTAAGTTTTTATCTTATATAATATCACAAACTAAAGTTAGGAGAATATAATTTGCTTTGCTGGAATCCTTGCAAGACAGCGAATAGTTTGAATATAAACGTCATATATTTTGCACAAGAGATAAAAATTTTAGTACATTTTAGTAATGTAAAGTTTTTTCAACTGTATTTTTGGGTAGATTTACATAAATTTCTTCATTTATTTTCATTCATTTACATGCACACACCATACTAAAAGAAACATAAAATAAATAAATGACCTAAGTGCTAACTGTCTAACAAAAACCTTATCCAACTGCCTCATTGGTGTTATAAATGAAGGTTAAACGTGAATGAAAAATAACTATTAATTATCTAACATTTTTGTTGTGTTTCACAAGTTTGTAGACTACAGGACTAGACTCATAGTACTTGATAAGTGTCATTTGGTTGCCCAAGAATTTTTTTCATGACACGCCACTGGTTAAGATATGTGCTAAAAGAGTAGGTTCCATAGCCCTCATGGTGCATCAAGGATACTGCAGATACAGCAGACCAGACTTAAACCATTTGTTGGTACACAAGGAGGCTATGTGTCAGGCACTGCACTTGACTGCCTTCACTTTGTCATCTGTGTGTTAGATACCCATTCACAGCCGGCAAACTAGGAAGGTCATGCTTGAGTGAACTTGTGACCTGTTGGCTGGGAGACAAGCACTGTATACACTTGGCTTCTTCACCCCTTTGAGAGGCCTTGGCATCTCTAATACGGTACTGTAAATATTTTATTAATATAATTATTTGTTGCTTAATTATAACTAATCAGGGTTTAGAACAAAACAAAATAAGGAGCACAGTTTTTGTATAAAAGTTTGGTTTCTAAGGAAATATATTTTGTTTCAGACACTGACCTCACATCTCAAGACCAAGTACAAGTTCACAATGTCAAGTAGAGAAAAAAAGTTCTCCTGTATGGAATGTGACAAAGTGTTTTGCTGGAAGACTTCTCTGAAGAAACATTTACTTACTCACAGTAATATCAAACACTTTGAATGTGATGAATGTGGGAAACAGTTTTCAAGAAAGAGTAATCTCAAGACACATACACTTGTGCACAAAGGCATTAAAGATTTTGAATGCAATGAATGTGGGAAAAAGTTTTTACAAAAGAGTAATCTCAAGACACATTTAATTGTGCACAATGGCATTAAGAAGTTTAATTGTGATCTATGTGGGGAACAATTTTCTTATAAGAGTGTTCTCAAGACACACATACTTGCACACAATGGCATTAAAGATTTTGAATGCAATGAATGTGGAAAAAAATTTTCACACAAAGGCAATCTCACGACACATTTAATTGTGCACAATGGTATTAAGAAGTTTAAATGTGAGGAATGTGGCAAACAGTTTTCAAAAAAGAGTAATCTCAAGATGCATATACTTGCACACAATGGCATTAAAGATTTTGAATGTTATGAATGCGGGAAAAAGTTTTCACACAAATGTAATCTTAAGACACATTTAATTATGCACAATGGCATTAAGAAGTTTAAATGTGAGGAATGTGGGAAAAAATTTTCTCGCAAACACACTCTCAAAAGACATATACTTGCACACAATGGCATAAAGAATTTTAAGTGTGAGGAATGTGGGAAACTTTTTTCACATGAGATTTCTCTGAAGACTCATATACTTGGACACAGTGGCATTAAAGATTTTGAATGTGAAGAATGTGGGAAAAGATTTACACGAAATAGCGCTCTAAAGACACATTTGCTTGTCCATAGTGGTATTAAAAAATTTAAATGTGATCAATGTGGGAAATCTTTTTCCACAAAAGGTAATCTGAAATATCATATAATTGCACATGAAAAAGTATAATTTTCTAAATGTTTGAATAAATTTGACATCAGTATAGAACCATGTCAGTAAGCTATGAATACTTCAGAATAAACAATAGTGACAAATGCCACCTATACATAATAAACATTTATATTATCTACTCTAATGAAGTAAGTTTCTTCAGTCTTTGCACAAGTACTTAACTGTGACATAAACAATATCTCAAAAAAATAAACTTGTGTTAGTTGTGGGATCATACCAGTCTAGTTGAACTTCCATTATAACCTTGCTAATATGTTATGGTCGCAAGTTCTATTTGCTAGTCAAGTCAGGTGAAGTTAGTTTATTCATGTCCTCCTGTCATTTGGAAACTGTGACTCATACAGTAGCTAAATACTTGATCCAGACCAGAAGTTTAGCCTCTCCAGTGAGCCTATGCATTCTTATATAAGAGCCTTGATGGTTTAGAGGAGCAGCAGTAGGTGTTCAGCTGTCAGTGGGACTTGTTCTACTATGGCCTACTCTTGGTTGGACCTCCTGCTGACTCACAGTTAGTTAGATTTTAGTTCTCCGGCTGAGGTGAGGCTTTATGGGGAGTCATTACATCTATCTCCCTTGGTTATCTTGTATTAATCTTTGTCAACCTTTAAGGTAGTGATGAATTATATTATTGGGACATCACAGTTGATTATAATTTGTCTAGATGTCATATAGTAAATATATTTATGTGTGAAATGTTAGTGTCTTATGTATTTCCTCTCTTGTATGTGTATGCATATACAGTATACTGACTGTATATTGTAAGAATTATCATTGTATAAGAAAACCTGCCAAGTAACAACATGGTCAACCTCCATGTATTTGTCTAGTTGGTGACAGACCCAATTCTACCATTATTTCATGACATCAACCATAATTATCCCATAAAACTAAATATTTATCATAAAATAATAATAAAATAAATCTTAAGTTCAAATTGAACACCTTATAATTTAGTGGCAGCTTATGTACAGGTATTTGGGCTGAAGCTGAAGCTCCTACACTGTACTGGGAGACATACAATATTGTGCTCATGAAGCTGAAAGGAATTTTTCCAACCCATATAAGGCAAATTATGTGTTTTATTTCTCTCTGAACAAAATAATTATATACATGGTTCAGTACTTTCAATAAAAGAATAAGACACATTTAAAACTTTATGTAAAGATGTTAATGTAAATCAAGAGAACTAAAGCAGCATTAGCTGGTAAGGTTTGGTGTTAGTGAGTGAGAGAATGTCATTGTCAAAATGTACTCAGTATTTGAACTACATAATAGTTGATCAAACAAAACATTACTGTAAACCAAAAGACTGAAAAAAAAAATCAAAATTGTGTTTACTGTAAATATATCACGTGCACCTACAGTGATTTATTTTCTTGATAATGTAATTTTTTGAATATTGTGTTTAAGTGTTTCTAAAATCTTTTACAACAAGCCAACAGGAGTTTACACATTGAACCTGTACTGTTACTACTATGTTGTGAGTAAACACATTGTACAGAACTGTAACATACAATAAACTTTACACTTGTAATTAAAACAAGAACCTCAAGTTTCTTGTTTTATTTACACAGTAGTAACAGTACAAGTACAACATTAAACTCCAGTAACCTTGTGACCGAGACTTATTTTCTCTCTGATATTATTAAGAGGAAATGTTTCATTTTTTTATGTACAGAAGACAACCATGAATGTAGAAAAGTGGTAATAATGCTTTTATTTTCTTAAAGCTTAGTTTCTGTGCTCTTGTCCTTAATACATTGAAGTTCAGAGTATCATGGACAAGCATCCAGAGTCTGAATGCCTCATATAATACAGGAACCATTAGTGGTCTTAGCATTAACTAACACTATTCATCTATAGTCATCAGTACTGACCACTAATAATATTTGTATTGTACAACAACCTCACTGACTTATTGACATGTATTGTACACCCACCAAAAAATTATTCAACACCCTTGGCTCTGATACACCCCCGCAACGATCACTGGTACAGAAGCCGTGATTACATGGTGTGGTTGGTACCCCTGTCTCTCTCTCTCTGTATGTCTGCATGTATGTGTGAAAGTAATATGATGTTTTCTGTAGCCACGTGTAGTATTTAACGGATAATAAACGGGAATACATAAATTTGTAATAGCCCCTGTCTAATAGGCAGAAGTATTTATATAAATGGGTTAATTACATTTGATTTATATACTCTATCATCCTCTGTAACTTTTCACTAGCTATGAGGTAGCATGTTCAGAGCACGTGATAAGGTGTGACCACGGAAAGTCTTGTCACTTAGTGTTGAGCTAAGGCATTAAGTAGCCAGCTCTCTGGCCACCTCTTGCAGTAGTAGTTTGATATCCTTGACGAGAGGAAGACATTATTGAGAGCCATCGTGGACAGTGCCGGATTAACCATGAGGCACTGGCCTCAGGCCCCCCGACTCTAAGGTGCCCCCCAAATCCAAACATTCTCTAAGTTGAAGCATATAAAACATGAACTTCGTTTAACGATGTCCTAGCAACTTCTCAATTTTCTGTCTCTTATGAACATTGAATGTGTTATTTTGCAGAAGCTTAATATTGATGAACTCATTGATAAATTTTGGTATATTTTGTTCTTGCTATATATATATATATACGTATATATATATATATATATATATATATATATATATATATATATATATATATATATATATATATATATATATATATATATATATATATATATATATATATATATATATATATATATATATATATATATATATATATATACAGTCAACCCTCACTTTACGCGGTTAATGTAACCCACAGGGTACCGCGTAAAGTGAATAACATAACATATGGGATTAAATGAAATAGAGACCAGCTGACCCCCAAACTCCACTTTTTCCAACACAATACCTATGTTCTAGTAAAAATAACATCTTAATTTTATGATGGTACATGCACACAATTAATACTTAAGAGAAATAGAGAAATACAGTAGCCAAGTTAATGTCCATTCAAATAATGGGCACGACTCCCTCCCCCTCTTCTCACACTACTCTGCTGGCTCTTCCCTCTGAGAAATTTTGGGGGGAAAACCAGGTATAGTAATAAATAATACCTCAAACTAAAGTTAGGATAATATAATTGACATTGCTGGATTCCTTGTAAGACCAGGAATATTTTGAATATAAATGTCATATATTTTTCACAAAAGATAACATATTTACTCAGATTAAACATTTTATCTAAAATTTGTATGTCTAATGCAAAATATATGATGTTTATATTCAAAATGATCACCAAATTGTAAGAATTCCAGCAATGTAAATTATATTCTGGCCGGGTAATTTGTATGAATTTTATGAGCTAAAATAAAAATCTTCAGTTAATAAAAAAAAAAAATTCTTCACACGGTAACAGATGGTCGGTCGCCGGTCCCTCCCTCCCTCCCCCCACCCCCACCAACGTCCCTACTAGATAAATGTGTGGGAATACCAGACTGTTTACCTTTTTAGTAATAAATAATAAATCAGACTAAAGTTAGGATAATATAATTGACATTGCTGGATTCCTTGTAAGACCAGGAATATTTTGAATATAAATATCATATATTTTGCACAAAAGATAACATATTTACTCAAGAGTAAACATTATATCTAAAATTTGTATGTCTAATGCAAAATCTATGATGTTTATATTCAAAATGATCAAATTGTAAGAATTCCAGCAATGTAAATTATATTCTGGCCGGATAATTTGTATGAATTTTATGAGCTAAATAAAAAAATTTTACTTCACCGTGTAAAGGGGTACACCCACCGCGGAATGTGAGCATCCTGGGTTCTGGCAGGGCACCGCGTAAACGTGGAAACGCGGAATGTGGGACCGGGTAAAGTGAGGGTTGACTATATATATATATATATATATATATATGTATATATATGTATGTATGTATGTATGTATGTATGTATGTATGTATGTATGTATGTATGTATGTATGTATATATATACACACACACACACACACACACACACACACACACACACACACACACACACACACACACACACACACACACACACACACACACACACACACACACACACACACACACACACACACACACACACACACACACACACACACACACACACACACACACACACACACACACACACACACACACACACACACACACACACACACACACACACACACACACACACACACACACACACACACACACACACACACACACACACACACACACACACACACACACACACACACACACACACACACACACACACACACACACACACACACACACACACACACACACACACACACACACACACACACACACACACACACACACACACACACACACACACACACACACACACACACACACACACACACACACACACACACACACACACACACACACACACACACACACACACACACACACACACACACACACACACACACACACACACACACACACACACACACACACACACACACACACACACACACACACACACACACACACACACACACACACACACACACACACACACACACACACACACACACACACACACACACACACACACACACACACACACACACACACACACACACACACACACACACACACACACACACACACACACACACACACACACACACACACACACACACACACACACACACACACACACACACACACACACACACACACACACACACACACACACACACACACACACACACACACACACACACACACACACACACACACACACACACACACACACACACACACACACACACACACACACACACACACACACACACACACACACACACACACACACACACACACACACACACACACACACACACACACACACACACACACACACACACACACACACACACACACACACACACACACACATATATATATATATATATATATTAGGGGGCCCCAAGTTGATCTGTGCCTCAGGCCCCTATTAAGCTTAATCCTGCCCTGATCGTGGATGGTTCCGTCTTCCCTCGAGGGAGGGCATATATTACCGTTCTCCCTCGACGGGTATTACGAGCATTCTTACTCACACTCTCACACAAGGAGGATGTATTTAGAAGAGCTATTTAATATAGCCTCCGTCCTCTTTTTAACACTCATAGCTACAGTGATTAAGTTACGGTGATATACACTTGGAACTGTATATCATATATTTTCTAAATAAATACAGAAAGGACAGTTGGGTTTTGCTACTCAAACCCTATATACTTTTGCATGTTCCAGCCCCATTAACCCAGCAAGAATCAACAGTTAAAGGGCCAGTTCAAAGTGTTAATACAAAAGCCTCTAAACAGCATAGCATTACCCACTGTAATACAGTATAATAATCAAACCTACAATTTGTATTAATGTGTGCATGGCAACCAACGAATCGGGGTGCAGTAATATAAGACAACAAGAACACAGAATATTTGTGTATCATAGTCGTGATATAACATTAAGCACAGTGCTGACATGATTATGAAGCAAGGAATGAGTCACGAAACGAGGTATGATGTTTCTTTAGTATGCCAAACATGATAAGATTAGTAGGTCCACCGTCGGGGGGATGATTGGTTGTGAAATTCGTGTGAGACAAATAATGTTAGTGCTAGCATAGAATTTTACC